CGGTTGTAAAGGAGGAGTGTGCCCCCAGGGCATGGAGGGGAGCCCTCCAGGGTGCCCCCCCACTGTGGGTCTGGTGTTCCCCGTGGGATCCACTGCATCCCCAGTGGGTGATGGGGGCCACGCAAGGACCGTGGGGTCCCACGACCCAACAGGGACTATCTGGGGCCTGTGCTTGGTGCCAAAGGGCTTGATGTTGGGGTTCCCTCTCAAACCTTAGGATGTGGGGTGAATCCTGAGCTGGGACGTGCCAGCTGTGGGGTGGTTTCTCCCCTCGTGCTCAGGCTGTGTTCCCTGGGTTGGATGGACTACCATCTCTGTGTCTCCATGCCCCCAGCTAGGGCAGTGGCATCCAAGCGAAGCTAAGGAGCAGTGACAGCCCTGTCACTGTCCCCATAGACGGGAGAGCCCTTTGGGGTGCAAAATGGAAAGCATTTCCATGGGAGCACTGTGGTCGCAGGCCCTGCAGGCAGAAGATGCTGATCCTGATCTTCAGGGGCAGGGGCTCAGAGGTCTACTCTCTGCAAGGACACGGGGACACTGCTGCCACAGTACTCTGGCTCCTTCCCATAACCCAGGCATATAGGGCCTTCTTGTGCTCTCTGTGGAGCAGTGGTTTCACCTCTCCATACACGGGGCTGTGAAGGCAGACCTGGGCCTGGAGAGGTGCTGACAGCCATGGTGATAAATGCAGTCAGACAGGCTGGAGCTGGGTGTAGTCGGAGCTGCACTGTGGGGGCGAGCACTGTGGGGATGGTGCTTGCTTGATCTGTCCTGTGGTTATGCGGCTGCCTGTGCCCGCAGCTGGCTGGCTGGTACAAGCTTTGTGGTCACCACTGGGGAGAGCTCAGGGCCTGGGGTATGGCTCCTTCAAAGCTTCTTCTCTCCCAGCAGTGGGGATCCCTGCATGGGGCTGGCCTTGTGGCCCTGGTGTGCAGCTCTCAGTGTTCTGTGGGGCTGGGGTGGCAGGTGGAGCTGTGGGTGTTAGTGGTGCCTCAGTCCCAGCCCTAACCTTGCAACTTGTCCTAGAGCCATCCCCCCACATGGGCTCTTGAGACCCTCGGCGTGCACGCCTGCTCTCCTCTCCTGGTGGAGCACACTGCAGTGTTCCTGTGGGCTCTGTCCCTGGCAAGGCTGCCTTCCCTTCCCAGCACTGCACTGCTGGGCACTGGGCCGACAGCTTCTGGGTCAGCTGTCTCTGTCTATCGGCAGCCTCTGCCTGTCCACTTCTGGGCTGGGGTTGGTCAGGTTGTCTTTCTACAATCAGTGCACCTGCCTGTGTCCAGCCTCGTGTCTGGAACAGTTTCCCTAATCTTCAGATAAGATAAAACACCAGTGAAAACACCGTAAAGACATAAGTGCCTGGAGAGGTTTGTCTGGGGGAGAGAGAGAGGTGCTGGCTGAATCCCACCAAGGACAGGAGACCAATGGGCCTGGCCCACCTATGTGGTGCTGTTGTGGATGGGTGTACTGGGCTGGAAATGGCACAACCAAACTCCAAGGAACTGATTTGTTTCTGTTTTGTGAACACCAGCCCCTCTGGGATCACCTGCAGCTGCCATAGTTGTATTTTTATTTCTCTCTTCCTTTTTCTTTAGCTGGTCTTCAGAATGGAGGAGCCACTGTCAATGGAGATGTCTTTCAGGTGAGAGCTCAGCCCTTTGCCCTGTCCCAGTGGTGCTCAGGGGGATTGGGTGGGTGTGGGGCCAGCACTCTGCTGCTCTGTCCCCAGGATTGACTGGAGTTTGCTGTCCAGCCACAGAACAGCTGTGTTCTCCTAGAAGGGTCTGGGTCTTGGGGGAGAGTCCTGTCTGCTCCATTCTCATCCCTGCTTGAAGGAGAAGATTGGTCCTGCCTACCATGACCTGCCCCAAATCTATTTCTGCGTGGCCTGTGCCCTGAAGGAGCAACTAGGCCCTAAAAGCAGATCACAAATCCTCCATCCCCCACAGAAGCCCCCTCTTTCCAGCCTGAGTAGCTCCTTGAGTCCTCCTTGAGCTACCTGCTCTAGTAGGAGGTGTCCCTGCCCATGGCAGGGGGGTTGGAACTCGATGATCTTTAAGGTCCCTTCCAACTCTAACCATTCTATGATACTATGGTTCTCTGGGGCAGTCAGGAGCATCTCTGGGCAGATGCCAGAGCCAGGACAGGGCTGCCATGGGGCACTCGCTTTGCTGAATCTGCAGCATTTCCCATTAAACCCACTTGCCCCATGGCCAGGGTTGTTTTGTGGAGGCCACCCACCTAGGTCTCAGCTCCCTCTGGGAGCCCGAGGTCCAGCTCTGCTGGCTACAGGAGAAGCTGTGCCAGCATCTGGACAAGGCCTTCACCCCACTTGGTGCCCAGCAGTGTGGCACGTGCATTGCCTGTGCTTAGTTTACGGGATGATAATCGCATCAGAAACGGGACAGACTTAATTAGATTTGGGAGCTTGGAGGAAAGCTGTAATCCCATTGCTGAGCTCGGTGTCGGGCTGGGCGTCCCGGCCAGCGGAGGGTGTTAGGGGTGGCACTGGGCCAGCGTGGGCCTGGGGGAGCCGTGCGGGCAGCTCGGCTTGGAGGAGCGAGGGTGGCTCGTCTGCGGGCTGGTGTCCAGGCAGAGAGCGATGCCTCCCTTGGGCCCTGCCTCTCACCTCGACTCTCCCTGTCTTTTGTGGTCAAGCCTGTGATGACGCAGAGTCCTGGGGCTACCTCGGCCCGAGTCGGGGCCAGGGAAGCCCGGTGGTGGTGGGGAGCACGTCACAAAGCGGGTGGCTGTCCTCTCCTGTGGGGCTGCCCAGAGGGTGCGAGAGCTGTGTTGGCAGCAAGTCAAGGAGGGGAACGCTGGGAAGTCTTTCTGGGTGACAGGGCCTGGGGCTGAGAGCTAGGACAGCAGCTTGAACAGCGCTTTGGTGACACTGTCCTAGATGTCCCATGCTGTCACCCTCCCCGCCTCCTATCTTGGCTTGTCTGAGTGCTGGGAGCGAAGAGTCCTGCCCTGCACTGCCAGCCCTTCGAGGTGGCTGAGCTGGGCTGTGGGAGGAGCTGGTGCTGACAGTGAGATCCTCATCCCCGGCAGGAGTCCAACGGCCCCACAGATGCCTACGCAGCCATAGCCAAGGCTGACCGACTGACCCAGGAACCTGAGAGCATCCGCAAGTGGAGGGAGGAGCAGAAGAAGCGCCTGGAGGAACTGGGTGAGACCCAAGGCCTTGTGTGGCCACACTCGTGGCACCTTGCAACGTGGCAGTTGGGGCCCTTGGGATCCCTCACCTGATGGTGACCCTGCTGCATCCCAGAGAGGTGTCTCATGCCCTTGCCAAAAATCTGCTGTCCTTAGGGCAGTGATGCCTTTCAGACAGTACTAGTGGGGACTGGGGACAGGCCAGGGGGGCTGCAGCTGTCCTGCCTGCTGAAGGGCTGCCCAGCAGACCCAGTGGGTGTCAGTCTGGCTGATGGGGTCTGTCTTGCTCCGGCCTTAGATGCGGCTTCGAAGGTGACTGAGCAGGAGTGGCGTGAGAAGGCCAAGAAGGACCTGGAGGAGTGGAACCTGCGTCAGAACGAGCAGATGGAGAAGAACCGGGCAAACAACAGGTGTGTTGTTGTCAGCATGGCCATGAGGGCTGCGACGGGAGCTGCTGTGCAACCAGATCTGCCTTCCTGGGATGTTTGGGGGCTTCTTTCCCCGCAGCGGGGTCCAGCCCTGCAGAGCCAGAGCTTTGCCAAGCAAGGGGAAAAGCTCCAGGGCTTCGAGTGGCTCCGGTGGCTGTGCCGAGACCACCCTGGGATCACCCTGGGATCACCCTGGGATCTCAGTGCCTCCTGCCCCCAGCGTGGGCGTCGCGTTGGGGCAGGGTTGGGGCATTGTCTGTGCAGCCCTGCCGTCACGGGCAAGTTTTCCTGGTGTGATGAGTGTGTCACGCTCTGTGGGAGGACGCTAACCCCCTCTCTGTTTCTCTCTTTCTAACCCTCTGCCTGCCTGTCTGCTCTGCGCTCTCTCTCTGTCTGTGCCTCGGGGGCTAGGATCGCTGACAAAGCCTTTTACCAGCAGCCGGACGCCGATGTGATTGGCTATGTGTATGTGCCTCTTACAGACCGTATCCTGCCCCGCGGAGCCCGGGGGTCCTGGCCCCACCACTGGCTACCCAGCCAAGGGGAGGGGGGATGCTGGGAGGTACTGGGCCCTGGTGGGGTCCTGAAGGGAGGACGATGCAGCTGAGCATCTCCAAATGGTGGAGTTTTAGGAGGCAAGCGGAGCTCCTGGAAGGTCCCCTCTGAGGGCTGGCTGAAGAGGCAAAGCCATGGGGTTTTGTGTCTTTTGGGGGACAGCTCTGAGGGTGGAGAAGTCTTGGGAGCAGGCAGACACCCCAGTGCCCCTGGAGAAATGATGTCTTAGGTGAGTGCAGCCTTGAGCATGGTGTGTCTCTGGATCCCAGAGGACGCTGAGCTCATTGGCTGGAGCAAGGGGACAGGAAACAGGCACATGGGGTGTTCCCAGACAGAGGGGAGGGTCTCCTTGGAAAGGGTTCTACTGGTGACAACCCTCCAATGTCTCTGCAGGGCCTCGGAGGAAGCATTCCTGAAGGAGTCCAAGGAGGAAACCCCGGGCTCTGAGTGGGAGAAGGTGGCCCAGCTCTGCGATTTCAATCCCAAGAGCAGCAAGCAGAGCAAGGATGTCTCGCGGATGCGCTCGGTGCTCATCTCCCTCAAACAGACGCCCCTGTCCCGTTAGCTGCCGCCTGGCACAGCCGGGAGCGCAGCCGGGCAGAGCCAGGCTCACCGGCGGCGGCGTGGGGCCAGCCCGCGAGGGGCCTCACCCTGCCTGCCCCCTTCTCCCTGGTGTGTGCCTCGGCTGCGCTCGAGTCACTGGTTGTAACTCTCCCCATGGTTTTCCTTTGCTTAAAAGGTGCATCAGTCTCTTTTTACACTTATTTATTACTGTGGCATTTCCCGGGAAGCGACACTGTGTGGCAGAGCTGAGTTAGGGGGTGGGGGGAGAGTCCCCGGCCTGGGCTCCGGGAGGTTGTGCCCAGGGGGCTTGCTGGGTGAGGGGGGGAACACACCACCCGCTGTTCCCCACCTCATCCCTGTGCCTGGGGATAAACTTGCCTGTGCCCATCCTGACGCTGGGCGAGCGCAGGCACAGCAGCCCCGTGCCTGGGCCTGGGTCCTAGCCCCAAGGCAACAATCCCATTGGGACCACTGGCTCCATCTGCCTTTCTGGCAGGGTTTAGAACGGAGCTGGCTGCAGGGCTGGGAGGGTGGAGGAACAGCCCTGACTCAGCTCTGCACTGCAAAGCCCTGCGGGGAACATAGCTGCAGGGACTGAGGAATGTGAGTGCAGGCAGCCAGGCTGGGCCGGGACTGCCAGCAGTTTCCCCAAGCCCAGCAGAACTCTCCCCAGTCTGGCTGCACACTCCAAAAAGGTGGCAAAGCCCTGAGCAGCAGTTGCAGTGTCTATGTCCCATCTGTCCTATGGGGTTGGTGGCGCGGGGCACTGAGAAGCAGCCATGGGGGGAGCATGCAGGATGTTTTCTGTCCCTCCCCCACAGCCACCAGCAGTTGGGAATGTGGGATGCCAGGCTTTGGGGCCCTTGGCTCTGCTCTGCTCCTTCCCCTGCTCCTAGGATGGGAGATGGAGGCTGTGTGCTTGCAGGGGAGCTAGTAGGAAGGTCCAGCTGCTGTGGGGCAGGTCGAGCCTTCAGCTCCCTAACCCAGGGGCCCAGAGCAGGATTGGGCAGTTGTGATGCTGGGGCTTGTGCTGTCCCTGGACAGCAAGCCCCACATCTCTCTGCAGCTGCTCTGTGGCTTCTCTCTGCATCCCCCTGGATTTGCACACCTAAGACAGCGTGGCAAGTTGCCTCAGTCCTGCTCTCTGTCCCGCAAGGTACACGCTTTCCTGCCCACACACCAGCTTTTCTCTTTTGCTTGGTGGGGCCGGCACCAGCCCCTCTGGCTCAGAGGCCCAGCTTTTTAAACCTGCAAATCTTCCAGCCTGCAGGAGAGGGGTCTGCGCACACCCTGTCCTGGAGCTTGTGCCCCCGGTCTGGCCCATTGGGAGCTTGGGAAGGGCTTGTGGCAGTGGGCTGGGGGCACATGGAGCAAAGCCCACAAAATGTATGCTTGGGCCTCACTGCAGAACCCTGCTCTGATAAAGCATGTACGCAGAGCTCTCCTGGCCTGCAGCTATGGCTCCACAAAGGTCGTCTGCCCTCCTGCTGCTGCCCTCGTGGGGCGGCCGGGCTCCCCTGGCTCTGGGGCAGAGGCTCAGCAGTGGGATGGAACGAGAAGCGGGTGTGTAGGGAGTCACTTGGTGTTGTGTGCTGGGATTGTGCCCCTTTGTCTCTAGGGCTGATCACTCCTACTCTGTCCTCCTGCGCTCCAGCATGCGTAGGCAGCTCTGCCACGGCACGGGGTGGACGCCGACGCAGGATACCTTGGACTGGGCTGCCTGCCTCTGCCTTTCACTGCACAGCAGCAGGAAGCACCTCTGGCTGCTTTCTGGGGGGCAGGAGCCCCCCTGCGCTCTGTGCCTCCAGCCCCCACAGGCAGGCGGGCTCCTGGGTCCCCCAGCTGCTGTCGCACCCCGTGTCAGGCAGGGGCAGCCAGCTCCCGGGGAGCCGTGCCCACAGCTGTTCTACATCCCCTCGGCTTTGGTATCTGTGACTGTTCAAATTACCTGTTAAAATAAACCACATCTCCAATCCCACAGGGCACTGTCGTCTTTCCGCTTCAGCAACACACGTGTGTCTTTAGGAGAACCCACGACCATGAAGCCTCCCACAGAAAGGATGGAGGAGAACCACATCCTACAGGGAAAAAAATAGGAGGGAAAGGAAGAGCCAGAGGGTTCGGGGTGACAGCAGGACCAGGGGGCTCTGCTCTGTCCCCAGGGAGCTGTGAGTCCTGCTTGTTGAGGTGACCTGAGCTGCTCCCCAGCTCCCTGTGCTGTCCCCAGGCTCCCAAGGGACTGCGCTGCCAGATCTGCCCACCAGCTGCCTCCCACAGCCCTGCCCCGAGCTGGCCGGGCTGGAAGTGCCAGCGAGGCAGCCAAAAGTGGCTGCTTCTGGGAAAGATGTACTGGGCTGGTGGCCAAATGGGGAAGGCAGGTAGCCCTGCAGCAGGCAGAGCCCTGGGCTTCCCGGTGCAGAGGTGGAGCTCACCACGCTCAGTACCAGTGCTGGCTTGACATCACCCTTGCATTTCAGAAGTCAGCTCTGGTGGGTGAGAGCCTTCCCTGACTTCTTCTCAAGGGCCACCTGCACTGTGGTTCCCAGGTGGCACAAACCAAGTGCTCATTCATGGGCAGAGCGAGTTTTCTCCTCACCCTGTCCTCCAGAGCTGTTTGTAAGGGCAAAGCGGCATCAGGGAGCTGCCACCGCAGGCCAGGGAGGATTGGCGTGCAGGCTCTGACATGCAGACACCCAGGGAGCAAAGCCTGGAAACGCCCCAGGCATCACAGCAGGGTCTGTGCTCCTTTCCCCTGCAGAGATACACTCTGCCTGCAGGCAGGTACAAGCTGTGACAGCCACGCAGCAAACAGATCTCACAGCCCCACATCCTCCCTGCTCTGCAGCCCTGGCACAGGTGAGCAACGCCTCCTCCTTGCTCACCAAACACCCCCAGTGTGATCCAAACAATCCAACACCACCAGCAGGACCCTGAGCTGGCCATGACGATGTTTGTCAGGACGCAGGCAGTGCAGCTCTCTCCGGGAAGAGGGCGCTTGCTCGGCAGCCGGTTCCAGCTCCCACAAAGCAGGGAGCTGTGCAGGAACTGACTTGCCGGCAAAAGCAGCTGAAGCAGCAGCGCGTCCCAGCGAACAGGGCCAGGGCCCGTTCTGGAAATGCAAGTCCCCAGCTCGTTTTCACAGGGAGTCACATCTCTCGTGTCCTGGTTGCACCACCACTTCAAGGCAGCCGTGCCTGCTCCCTTTCCTTCCTACACTGTTTACTCTTCTGGCTTCCCAATGCTCTTGCAATGCAGTATCAGTCAGAATCTCGCTGCAATTCACTTTATTACTCACCAGTCGCAACCCAACAGGTTACATACTCTCCCCAAACAACTCCCCCACTGCTTATGAACTCTGTCCTGCCAGCATCAAGCCATAAACAGAGCTGTGCCTTCCTACGCAGGCAGATGATTTCTCAAATGCTAGTGCACCGCCTGCCTAAAGCTACACCCCAGTGCAGACCACAACCCACAGGACACAATTTTAACAGACTGTGACAGTACCAGGCAGGGACAAGAGGTCTGACAAGGGTAGAGAGCCTTAGTGAGGCGCAGCCTCCAGTGTCGCAGGAGGATAAGCTCTCAGAGAATCAAAAAAATGCCACAGCCCGGATATCAGGTTAATCACAGAGGTGTATTAGCCGCATTTCTAGTGCTCTGGAACACGGATCCACTCTGAGCTCCACCGAGGCATCACAACTGTCTCTCAGAAAACTCCATCCGCAGCCAGAATCCCCCCCCCCTGCCAGCTGTGGCACAGGCTGGCGGGCGCAGGCCCGTGGCCACAGCTTCTCTCTTGCCTGATCTCACTTTCTAGACTTCATGGCCGTGACCACCATGCCTCCCAGGAGGGCCACGAAGGTGAAGCCTTGGGCCACGATACGTGCCCGCATCATCAGCTGGGACCGACGGATGTTGCCTCTCTTGAAGCTGATCAGTCCGTAGGTCAGGACGCCGACCGTGCAGAGGCAGCCTGTGGAGAAGGACAGAGGGACAGCTCAGCAGAGCAGGGGTGAGGCTGTGAGGCGAGGCCCACGCCTCCATCTTGCCCCCCTCCATCTTGCCCCACATCTCCCTCCACATCCCCCCACACTTCAGCGTTGTTGGCTCGTGAGACAACACCCTCAAAACACGGACACGCTTCCCCCGAGGGCAGCCCCGTGGATTTAGGCCCAAGAGGGTCCGACCCGCTCGCTCGCTGCCCTCCCCGTCACCAGCGCCTCTCATCCCGCTCCTTCCCCATCATCCCCCCCCCGTCCCCCTCCTTCTCCCCTCACCGAGCGGCACCAGGGGGTTCTCGCGGGTCTTGCGCAGGAACTTGTCCCCGAAGCCCTCATCGCTGAACACCGGCAGCGGGAGGGGGTCCAGCGGCGGGGGAGGCCCTGCCGCCATGGCTGCGGCCCGCAGGGAAGGTGACCACCAGCGGGCCTGCCCGGCTGCCGTAGCCAGGAAGCGCCGCACGGCCAATGGGAGAGGTGGGAAAGCATCTCCCAGCAGCCTGCCGCGGAGCATGACGGGGGTTGTAGTCCATATCGGGAAGACGCACAGGGTGGTGCTGCGGGTACGGGACTACAGTTCCCGTGGTGCCCCGCGGCGCGGCCCGGCGCTCGATAGCAGCAGCGTGGTGCCACCATGCCGAAGGCGAAGGGGAAGAACCGGCGGCAGAAATACTCCTACAACCTCAACCGCAAGCGGCTCTACCGCAGCGCCCGCCGCCGCGACGCCCCGCGCATCGCCTGGTGAGGCGGCGGAGGGGGGGAACACGGAGGGGGGAGGGCACAGGGCCGGGCGTGGGCCTAGTGTGGGAGTGGGTGCCCCGGTGGGACAGGCCACGCGTCTGGGTGGGAGCTGTGGGGACGGGGACCCGGTGCCGGGGCCTGTCCCACAGAATCAATCACATGAGGTTGGAAGGGGCCTCTGGAGATCATCTATCCAACCCCCTGCCAGAGCGGGTCCACCCAGAGCAGGTTGCACAGGAACGTGTCCAGGTGGGTTTGAATGCCTCCAGAGATGGAGACTCCACCACCTCCCTGGGCAGCCTCTTCCAGGGCTCTGCCACCCTCAAAGTGAAAAAGTTCTTCCTTATGTTTATGTGGAACTTCTTATATTCAAGTTTGTGCCCATCTCCTCTTGTCCTGTCCCTGGGCACCACTGAAAAAAGACTGGCCCCACCCTCTTGACACCCACCCTTTAAGTATTTATAGCCGTTGATCAGATCCCCCCTCAGCCTTCTCTTCTCCAGACTGAAAAGACCCAAGTCCCTCAGCCTCTCCTTATAGGGAGATGCTCCAGGCCCCTCATCATCTTCGTAGCCCTCTGCTGTACCCTCTCTAGCAGTTCCCTGTCCTTCTTGAACTGGGGAGCCCAGAACTGGACACAGTGCTCCAGATGGGGCCTCACCAGGGCAGAGTAGAGGGGCAGGATGACCTCTCTTCAACCTCTCCCTGCACAGCTCGCACATTCGCCATGCCTGGGACCCCACCAAGTCGGTGGCACAGAACCTGGCCGAGATGGGCCTGGCCGAGGATCCCAACAAGGCCGTCCCCATCCCCAGGAAGAAGCTGCTGGTAAGTGTGGTTGTGGTGTGGTGGGGAAGGGCCGGGGGGGGTGGGAATCAGCTGGGGCTGCTACGTTGGAGGTGGTGGAAGGTCAGGCCTCCCTCAGGACAAGCTGGGGAAAAGCAGCGTGGGAGCAGCCTGTCTTGGAGCATGGGCCAGGTGGCTCTGGATCAGTCTCTGCAGGCAGATGGGTTTCTTATCACTATGCTTTTGTTGCCAAGATCCAAGTGTGGCATCACGGAGAAATAATGGACTTTAGAACAGGTATAAATAACGATCAGTCAGTCACCTGGGACTTGCCAGAGAGAGGTGGGGATGGGAACACCGCAGCCAAGTTGTTCCTGATGACAAAGAAAGCTTCTTTGTGTACTTTGCGTCGGTGGATAATGCTTCCAGGCAAAGGTGGCCCCACAACAGATCACAGTCATGGAAAAAACCAGGCATGACCTTGTTTGCCATTTGTCTCTGTTCACACAGTATTGCTGGTGTGACAAGCTTGCCCACAGGCTGGCTTAGTGGCGCAAATAAGGCTTTGCCTAAGCCAGCTGAGATTTTCTGATCCTTATAAAAGCAGTTTGGAGTTTTGGGAGCAATGTATGGGGAAACAGCTCTCTTGTGCATGGGATTTTCTTGAGTTGCCTTCTCTTTCATTTAACGCAGGGAATGGAGGTGGAAAGCGATGGACGGGGCCAAGGAAAGAAAATAGTGCAGAAGCCCTACGTGGTGAATGGTCAGTGCCACTTCTGTCCTACCCAGGGAGTGCTTCACCAGCCTTGGCAGGTTTCCTGCTGACCCACACTGCTGCCATGGCGTTTGGGGTTCTCCCAGGGCCCTGTGGATTATTTATATATGTCTCTCCTTTCTGTGCTGCCAGACTGTCCTTAGCTGCTGTGCTGTGCCGGGGGCAGGGAAGGGCGTTACTTCTTGTCCAAGCTGGTGGGCTTGTAGAGGAGTAACCCCTGGAAGCAGTCAGTTGGGGTTTTCCAGCCAGGCCAAAGCTGAGCTGGGAGCCAGAACTCCTCTGACTTACCCTTGCCATTCCTGTGTATCCTGTCTCCTGTGCTGCTTTTTTCACAGTATTTCTACCTGCAGCCCCAAGAGGGCTCTTGTCACTCTGAAAACAGGCACCGGGGTGACAAGAAACTGTGGCTGCAGTACCCTGCTTGTTTTAGTGGTGGGCTGGGCAGCTCTGAAGAGTCAGGCTCTGCAGCCTGGGCAGAAAGGCTCCACTCCTCGTGGTGGCCTGGATGCCTGCAGCCTACGTGGAGGGCTGTTGTCTCGCTCGTTTTCCTGGGAAGCAGCCCTGTGTGTGCGAGCAGTGGAGCTGTGCTGCAGGAGTCACCTCCTTTCTGCAGCACTGGCAGGGTTTGATCTTGGGGAGGAGGCTGGGGGACCTCTGAGGTGCTGCTTGCTTCCTTCCTCTGCTTCATGGCGTCTCTGTCCTCTGCCTAGAGATGGAATATGAGGCCAGTCTCCCCGAGAAGAAGTCAAACACGCTCTCGCGAGACCTCATTGACTACGTGCGGTACATGATACAGAACCACGGGGAGAACTACAAGGTAAGAACTGGCTGTCCCTGAGCGAGGAGCACCCGGGGCAATTCACTCCTGGCTCTTCTGCAGGATGGGAATTGCTCCCTGTGCGGGTTCCTGTTTTTGCAGTCAGCTGGTTGTTAAGGGGAAGCAGCGCATTGAACCTTGGCCAGATCCTGGTCTGACTCAGGCACCGATCGCAGCCGGCCTGGGTGGGCCTTTGGCTGGTTTGGTGTTTGCTCTCGGGGCTGCTCCTCTGACTTACCCTCTCCTTCATCACAGGAAATGGCTCGAGATGAGAAAAACTACTACCAGGATACACCCAAGCAGATTAAGAGAAAGATCAACGTGTACAAGAATTTCTATCCCGAGGAGTACAAGGATTTCATTGCATCACTCAAGCAGGAAAAGATGGATGTGCAGTGACTGCTGTTTTTCCTCAGGTTCGCCTGCAAGTGCAGGCTTGTTGTGACCATATTCTGAACTGAGGGGGACTGACAAACGGGTGACAGTTACAGGCTCAGCACCAGCAAGTTGAGCTACACAAAACCTCTGGTGATGGAGGAAGGACCTTCATCAGACAGGGACAGTAATAACCAGGTGTGAAAGACTTCTGGCTGTGGCTTGCAGCGCTGGGACTGAACGTGCTGTGCCGCTCCCTTTCTGTGGGGCAGCCAGCACTTCTTTTGCCTTGTTAAAATAAATTACTCTTTCAAGCTGGTGATATTGTCTTGCTCGTGGGCTGTCGCTTGGCGCAGTCCCGCTTTGGCGAGCTCCCGGTGCCAACCTGTGGGACGTGGACGTGGGGTGCATGTCACCCCTCAGCAGCAACGGGGCTGGGGGACCGCAGGCAGCACTTGGGCTGTTGATTTCCCTGCAGGCAGCAGAGGTTGGCGCAGGGCCACGTGCTGCTTCCTTCCCCCATGAGCGACCTTCCTGATGGCAGCTTGGGACACCCGGCTGGGGGGTCCCTTCCCCGCCAGGGAGCTGGAGGGGGCACAGAGTGAGCAGCTTCTTTTATTGATAAAAGAAAGGAGCGACTGTACAGAAGGTTTCACAGCAGAGACCAGTCGGCGTGTACTCCCTTCCCCTGAAATGCTCCCCAGCTTCCCCGATGGGTTTTCCAGGACCCAGCGCCCTGTGGCCGGATCCAGCAGCCTCCTGCCTGCAGGCAGGGCTTCCTGCGGGCCCGAGCCTGGCTCCTTCCCCTTCTCCCTGGGGCAGCTGAGAGGGGAGAGAGACTGGGCAAGGGGGACAAAGACCTGCTGAGCACAGCTCCTTCCAAACAGCCTGTCTTCACCCTGTTCAGAGAGAAGGGGCAGTGCAGGGCTGCCTGACACCTGCCTTCATCTCATAACAGGGCTTTAAATCCAGATCTGGGGGGCTGAGAGCTGTGCTGGGCCCCGGTGAGGCACAGCCCGAGTGGGTTATTCCCACTAGTGTATACTGAGCTGGCAGGGCTGTGCCAGCAGTAACTCCTCGTGGTTTTTTGGGAAGAAGAACCCATCTCCTGAGACATCCTGTCCATGCCACTGGGTGAGAGGATTACCTCGCTTTTCCAGCCCCATCCATTTAATATCCTGCAGGGCTGCCATGAAGGTGCAGGGCCCTGCCCTGTCCCACATGTTCCCGCTCACCAGGGGGTGAGAGCCGTGCTTGTGCCTCCATCCCAAGGCAGATTTCATCCCTGAGCTGGGGGAGGCGGCTGTCCTCTCCCTGTAGCAGAGAGCAGAGGCTGCTGCTCGTGTTCCCTGAGGGCAACCATGCCACAGCTCAACCCCAAACCTCGTGGGGTGCAGCAAGCACCCCAGGACTGGCAGCCGGCTGCCAGTGTGTCTGAGCTCCAGCGGCACCCACCCAGATACCTCCATCCTCGCGCCGCAGACCCCGAAGAGGAGCCACATTGGGGGCGGGAGCCTGTGTGGCCCCCACGCTGGCTCAGGGCTGGGACAGCAGGGTGACCAGCAGGTTCTTCACGTGGAGGACACTGGTGGCAGTGTTCAGGCCGTCCCAGGTCGCGCTGGTGGGCAGGAGGAAAAGCTCCCGCTGCCCGCTGAGGGTGTGCAGGGCCAGCTCCTCCTGCAGCTCTGCTGTGCTCAGGGCATCGCTCTTGTCCTGCGGGGGAGAGAGGCGGCCGCTCAGGACGGGGGAGCAGCAGCCCCGGGAGCCACGGGGGTGGCTGGCAGGAGCCCTGTCCTGGCAGGGCTGGAGCGTGGGCAGGGCTGCCTCCCCCCCGCGCTGGAGCCGCTTTGGCACAAGCTCCTGGGAAGCAGCACCAGGCACGCGCTTGGCCGCCTGCCTCGGGAATGTGTTTCCCCTCGGCGATTTCGCGTGCTGCTGCCTGGGTGCTCTCCTGAAACTCGTTAGCCAGGGCGCCTGTAATGGCAGCCGCGCCTCCTGATGAAGACTGGCCCCGAGAAATCAGATTTCGCAAGAGCCGGTGGATTTTGGGTGTCAGGATTTCCCCTGGGGGTCCCGGGGAAGGGACAGTTTCACTGGAAACAGCTTGAGAAGCAGCTGGAGGGACGGATGGGATGGACGGATGGGATGGATGGATGGGACACCCACCTGCTTGTTGGCCAGCACGACCAGGGGCAGCCGGGGGTCGTTGGCCAGCAGCGCGTGCAGCTCCTGGCGTGCTGTCAGCAGGCGTGACCTGTCCACCGAGTCCACCACGAACACCAGCACATGGGCCTGGTCCAGGTAGTGGGGCCAGTAGGCTCGCAGGTTCTGGCTGCCACCCACTGCAGGAGACGGGCAGGATCAGGCACCGGCGTGGGGGGCAATCGGGGCTGGCACCTCCCCAAAGCACCCCGGGGAACCAGATTTCCCATCACTGGGTGCTACTGGCAGATAAGGGGACCCTCAGCCCTGGGTGGGGGGGACACGTTGGAGCCAATGCCAGCCTTACCCTCCAGCAGGTCCATCTCCATCCCCTGGATGAAGAGCTGGGCAGAGTTGAAGCCGTGGGTGGGGGCGATGCGGTCCCTGGCCGTCTGGCTGCAGAGGTAGTGCAGGACGCTGCTCTTCCCGGCCCCGTCCAGCCCCAGCACCAGGACCTGCCGCCAGTCCAGCTGTGGGGGATGCAGGAAGGTGTGGGGCCGGTCCTGGCACCCCCAGCCCCACGCTCAGGCAGCTGGTGGAGGGACCCCCTCCATCCCTCCAGCCCCCCCACCCCCCAGCTCCTGCACACCCGGTGGGCTCCAGGAGTGGTTTGGAGTGGGGACCCCTTCCCCGGCAGGATGGGCTGCAGGAGGGTCCATCATCCCGCGGAATATCCTGGGGAATCCGAGTCTGACCGGCTCCAGGGGGGATCCCACCGCGAGGTGCCAGGGGGGCGCTGACCCCGCTGTGTCCCCGTCCCCAGCCCCACGTGCTCAGAGGGATCCCGCCGGTGACCCAGAGCCTTCCCCAGCCGGTTGGTCACCGGGGCCTTCCCGACCCCCATCCTGACGGTCTGGAGGGTGTGAGGAACCGGAGGGATCCCAACCCCCTGCCCCGAGATGCCGGTAATGGGCTCCCGGTAAAGGGGATCCCGGGGAGATCCCGACTCTGTGCCCTTGCCAACCGGCGATGGGCCGGGGGTCCCGGCGAGGGTCCGTTTCCCCCCCCCCCCCT